TTGTCGCCAATAGCCGTGCGCGGCGAGCGGCAGGTTCATGCGGTGAGTGACGGGACCTATTTTTACCACACTCGGAAACTGACACTAGATTTCGTAGATTTTCTCGAAATATGGCATAGGTAGTGTTTTCAAGGTACAAGGCAACAAAAAGATTTGTTAGGCACAGTAAGAGTAAAGGAGGTTTGACTAAATGGCAATTACACTAGATCACTCTGAAACCTATCCATCTATGATTTAGTGCTCTAAGATACGCAGATTACCAGAGACGATCTTGTTCTCTAAGATTGAGCCAGGCGGAATATCAATTCGGTCTCCGTGATTGGCAATGATGATAACTGTTCCCTGAAATCACAGCCATTACATTTCTCAAAACTGCCTTCTCGAATGTGTGACCCATTTAGTACCGGAACTTGCTTGGGTAACTCATTAGGACCCCAGGGCTCCCTCACCCAAATTACCCATAAAGGCACACATATGTAAGCGCGAACGTTAAGTGATGGCTTGGCCTTCTGTAAGCTTATGGCACTTTGTGTCCTGATGGCGTATTTAGGAGCACTTGAGAGCAAAGCCCACGCTTGTCGCGTGGGCGGAGTCTGATATGGTAGTGTTTTATTCATTAGTACGCCTCTCCTTTAGAACTGATGCAGAAGAAGGCTCCAAGCATGGGGAACGCTGCACGATGGTGGACGCGGCTGGATTCTCAGAATTCTCAGCAGGGCACAGCATTCGATGGGGATTTTGGTCGAGCTTTTACGACCCCCCCCATGCTCGTACGATGGCTGACATGGCTGACTGTGGTTGTGGTTTATACTCGCGGCGCGAAAAGTTGTCGAGGAGGAGGGGGATGTAGTAGGCATGCGACGTACATCGTACGGGCGTACATAGTACCTATAACACAGAAAATTCATAAAACTCATGAGTGAACCACGTAACTCCTAGCCAGAAATACGACCCCCCCTCCCAACAACGACAAATACGACCTCCCCTCCAAAACGTCCGCAAAGCGAGAAAAATCATATAAAAATAAATTTTTCCCAGGCCCAAAATACGAGCCCAAATAGGGAGATCCCATCGAACGCTGTGCCCGATTCTCAGAGAGCCATACAGTTTTTGCATTTCCCCAGATCAATAGTCTGATAGGAGGGAGAACTGGACAAAACCTTCAGCGATACATTTTTCCAAACCATACATCACCCGAAACGGTCAGATGATCGAGTTCCAGCAAATCAGGGATGCCTTGGAAACGTTTCAGGAAATCTGATACCTGAAAGCGAAAAAGACAGAAGTGTAGTTACCTTACTTTGCTCAGATTCTGTGCACGTACCTTGTCAAAGCTAGAGCCTAACTTCACAAGCGGTGTTGTTGGGAATGATCTATGCTCAGAAAGTGTTAAACTTCCGTGATCGATATCGTAAAGATTTGACATGAGTAACAAGAGATCTGAGCACTTCTTCACCGGAAGGAAACGTGATCGTGGAACATTGATACCTGGAAATGAAAATAATTTGGAGACCGTCGTCAGTGCTTATGAAAAATTCACATTCACATTAAGAGGCATACATGTCCTCATCTGCGGATCCGATGGGGCGTATCCGCAGATTATGAGTGTGCTATGCTGCTTGAGCCGTTCTCAGCCTCTTTTGTTGAAACGCGTATGCGACAAAAAGTGGTAGAAACGAGTAATACGGAGGATATAATACAGTAATGTCACTTGCCGCTTCAACAACACTGGTGCAGAACGACTTTGGCGCAAACGCGCGCACTGAAACGGCCCGACAAGTAGTAATGATGAGGGCTGTAGTTACACGCTGACTATATGGGAGAGGCAACCAATTATCGAGGCTCACTCATTGATGTGTTCATCGCTCGAAGCCGGTACTAGCTAAGACTACCCATACAAGGTGAATCCCCATACAACGAGAGCAGCATATGTGTCGTCATCAATACATTTTTTAGCGTATCTTAGGGTTCATTACTATCCTCTCGGTTGAAAGGTGGGTTAAAGGCAAAGCCCGCGACCACAGATTGTGGGTAACGGAACCCACATAGGAACGAAAAAGGGCTAGGTATCTGATTAGCGGAGAAAAGCAGCAGAAAAACAGCCGAAAGTGCCCTAAATAGGATTCCATATCGACCCCACTTGTACATGCATGCAATGAAGAAAACGCATGTTTGTACGAATTTTTCACTCGTGTTATCATAAAGATATCAGCTCTTTTATCGTATCACCTCACTCTCACCATTCGGAATGGAGAAAGATAGCATAGTGGCTACTAGCTAGTAGCTAGCAGCCGGTGGGGGTCGGCATGGGCCTAAGGGGCGCCCATGGGCCTAACTGGTTAGCTTAAAGCGAAATTCTTGCCGATTTTCACTTTCTAAAGGTAGCGCAGCCTCCGCAATCTCCTTCCGGATCGTCTGACACATTTGAAAGGTCATAGCCTTATTTTATCGCGGAAAGTGCCTTTAAGGCAAAAATGCGGCGATCACCTCAGCGCAAGCATGTGAAAAAGAGCACTTCGGACGATTTTTTTCTTCGACTATAAATTGGGGCAATCCGCAATCGAAACAGCTCAACAAATTAACCAGGTGTGGGGGCCCAATAGTGCTAGAGAAAGCACTGTGCGGCAATGGCTCAACAAATTTCGTTCTGGAGATTTCAGCCTTGAAGATGAACCTCATAGCGGTCGACCTAAAGCAATATCTGACGAGGATTTTAGGGGGATTTTGGAGGCTGACCCATCCCAAACAGTTCGAGAGATAGCAGAAGAGCTAGGCCTTGGCAAATCCACTGTTGCAGATGGTCTGGAACGCATTGGTGAAAAAAAAAGAGAAACGGTCAAAGCCTGCGCAGAAAAGCCTTCCTTCTTATAGATAGCATTCAAAAACAATTTGCGGACTGAGTTTCCTGTATGCATGCTAGCAGTAGGTGTTGGCTGGGCACGTGAATAGTAGCCATATATCCACGGCAGCACAGCGGCCGCTGTCATACTCCATTCTTCGCTTCATATTAATACTCTCGCAAATGAAGCAATAACGAGCATCAGGTACGGCCGTCCGTTCGTAGGCGGGCGGGCGCGGTGGCCGCTCGGGTTGGTGTACTGTAGATTGATCGGGCCTCACAAGGGTTACGTGACAACTAAAACTTTTGGTGGGGGTCCTGCCACGATAGGTGCTACTGCCAAGGCATCGTGAGGTACAAAAAACACGATGCGAGCCAGGAGATGAGTTTTTCGAGGGGAGGGGACACCGGGGTGGATGAGCCACTTAGTATGCGTGAAAAGTTGGAATGTGAAAGATCAAAGTGGCCATAAATCGCCACTCAGGCAAGAGAGCGCAGAGAACAACAGAAAGTTGGCGCCATTAAAGGGATTGAGTTTTAGTTGTCCGTAGGCCCCTCACAAGGGTACCTTCCTTGGAAAAGGCGCCATGCAGTGCTTGCTCAGAGGCGCGGAATTCCGTCATGCGTATACTGGGCGTATATGCTACTAATACTCGTCTGGATTTATCGTGCCAATTGCCTCCAAAAAGGAACGGCATCACGATTACACGCATGGTCAGCTATGGCTCATGGAACAAAACCACGTAGGTCGCCGGCACGTACATGAGAGCCGATCAGAGCCTTCCAGATATGAGGACACAAGCACAAATCTGGGCGCTGTTCGATTTGGGAGGCTCGGGATGTTTTAGGAGTCACTGTGTTTAGGAAGCACCGAAACATGGAGCTTCTGGCTACTAAACTATCCCTGGCTTCTGCCTCTTCCAGGAATCAAATACCGGCAGAGGCCCTCATGCTCACTGAGCAAAATACGATCTACTACAGTTGCGGTTTCGCTGCATGAAAATGATCATAATTGAGGAGAACCAAAAAGAGTCAAATATCGCCATAAAACAGTTTATTTTTGGGATGAGCCATGTATGCTACCGTCGTCCAGAATCACAGCAGCCAGCTTCTGAATGAAACTTGGTCTACTCTCTCAGACGACTCTTTTACCTACTTACAGATCCACAGATCCAGGACGGAAAGGAGGTCAGCTGGTCTGGGCGGTGACCGGATTTTACCCTCAGATAATGAGCGTCGCGAGCAGCGCCTTATATCACTACACCGTCTCCGTTCATTAAAAAATATAATTGCATAAGGACAAGCAAATAAAGTGAAGCAAAGTGCTAAAGGCAACTGACCGCATGCTCCACGGAAGTTCTTTACGGCAGCACCAGCGGCCGTTTCCAGTTGGATAATGTCAAGGCCACGTTCGAGATGTTTGGATTGACGATCACCTCCATTTCCAATTCATTGTTCTCTACTACTCGCTTGATAGCCGACAATTTTGCCCATAAGTTGTTCGTGTTGAAAATGCTGAAAATAATCTGAAAATCATTCGAAAAAATTTACAATAAAAGGAGGCAACTTCTGAAGATGAACGAGTGAGGACCTTCAGACAGTAGAACTCCAGAGTTAAACGTACCGGAATTTACTGATGGATTTGAATTCGTCCACGTAATCCTTTGGAACTTGGGCGATCTCGAGTAACATAAGTCGGTTCTCATATTGAATCAATGTACCTCCTTTTACGTCGGCGCGGGTTTTGTTAGTGACCTGCAACGGAAGTTCTGAGCGAAAAGAAACAAGACAACATAGTATGCGCCATGCGTTCGACCTCGGTCTAGTATAGCAGTGGCACTTACGCGTGTTCTTGGCCTATATAATGAGTGGTAGCTGCCCCTTCTTGACTTCCCGACTCTTTCGACTAGAGTCTCTGCGATCCAGCGAGCATAATATGAAAACACCGACCTCCATGAGGAATTCTGGATGTTCGTGGCCGGCTGGCGGAGAGAGCAGGAAGTTCAGGATGGCGAAATCAACTGTTGCACCCATGTTGTCGATATTAGACAGGAAACAGTAGACTCAAAAAGCTCTGAAAATCTGGAAAACAGAAGAGCTTCACCTCTTTTCCATCTGCGATGAACTTGTCGATGAGACCAGAATTGTAGAAGGCTTCATAGAAGTTTCCGTGACCAGGTGGGTACCAACTTAAAGAACAATACCAGCTCTGGGTCAACCAAGTAAGGTGAGTTAAATGAGACTAGTATGTATTTGACGAATATTAAATAAAAACTGATGACGAGGGGTACGGTAATTATGATTGATTGAAGGATATCCTGGGGATCTGTGGCGTTTCATTCGGTTATTGGTCACGCGTTTACCCTTCCGTTCTGTTCATTCAGGTTTACAAAGCAAACCTCTTCCATTAGACTCGGTACCAGTTCGTCATGGTGGTGGATGAGCTACGTTCACACCTAGGCACGATGGCTGGGGGCGGATGGTTACTGCCAACGTCATTGGTGGAAGGGCGGAGTGAGGTGTGGCCGGATGCCCTCTCGCAGCCCTTCCACCAATGACGTTGGCAGCAAACGCTCGCCCCAGTCATTGCACCCGCTGCCTTTTAGGTGGACGATGGCTGGTGGTGGGCTTACTATCGTTTCTGACCACAATGATTTGAGGCACATCAAGCAAAGTTTTCCATGCCCTCAACACACAACCCGTGCAAGACACAGCAGTACAGCGTTTTGCATGGATCCTTGTGCAACTAAACGCTGTGCTCAGCAGTTGTTGACGTGCCTTCTCGTAGATCGTAAATCGTTGCAAGAATAAAGGATATAGCTATCGCCCTTGATCAATAACTCCTGGGATGCGGCCCACATTCTTCTTCCTTTCACAACCGTAGTGGTTTATTGAATGCGAAAGGGACTGCGCGGAAATCAATGCAAAAGTCAGTTTTCATCCTCGAATACGAATCTATTACCAATATACGGCTGCAGAAGGGAGCGAGTTTCGGTGGTTTGGGAGGAAGCTCATTCGGGATTTGATTCTCGAATAGCGCAAAAGTGCGGCGTGGACAGATGATCGCTCTCGTGTAGTGAGGGGGAGGACAATAGGCAGTGAGACTAGTTGCCCCCTGTTGTCTGCTTGTCTACGCCTTCTCAGCAAGATGCTGTTTCGTGGAATTCGACTGAGAGCGGTGAAGTCACAAGAGAGGATAGAACAGGTACTGCCTTGTCACATGCACTGGCTCGTTCCCAGTTCTCTTCACCTCGCACCTTCTCTTTCGACTACTGTAGAGTCAGAATTTGCAATAAAGCCCCCATGATCCAAAAGAATAGAATTATACCAAGCGGCTAATTTTACAAAAGAAAACAATAAAATAGGTAGGAAACCTACCACTCTTGGTCGGCGTCATTTAACGATTTCGCGATTGGCATGAGGGTTTCACGATTTATACGCGGATATTGCGATTGGCAGAAGGTGTACACGGAAACCTGCAGAGATTCCATACGCACTAAACGTGCTGCACGTACAGACTCAGAAAACGTCACCAACCTTCACATTCGCGTACTTTTTCAGTACTTTCTTAGTGTCTTCTTCGGTGTTGAACGAGTTCATCAGCACTAATGGCACATCAACGCCGAATGTTTTGTTCAGCGTCTAAAACGGCGCTAGTTTTTGTGAAAACGTCTCGATGGAACTCCTCATGAAGGCATTTG